ATTTGGCACATGATGAATATCTTGCAATGAATATATGTAAAGGTGCAAGACCTGGATTCTCAAACAATACACCAAAAACCTATATTGAGCTAGCATTCAAATGCATGGATGCTAATCCAGATAAACATCCAACTGCTAAAGAGACTTTTGAGATTATTAATGATTGGAATAATGCACTTCAGTATTTTGGGCATGGTCATGAATCAGAATTGATTAGAAAAGAGTTCTATGAAATGGATGAAATAAAATTTGATCCTTCAACAATTACTACAACAATTCATCCAAATGCAATTTATACTAGCAGATTATTAAATTTTACAAACCTCCCCCAACCTGTGAATTCCAATAAAGTAACAATTATTGGTAATAATTATTAATATTCAATCATTGATTTTTATTAACATTAACAATATTTATTAATATCTATTCTTGTGATAAATATTTGTAGATTCTAAACAAATTGATTTAGCTATACCAGATATAAGTTAAATCCTGTCACTTATTATGTATTAAATTATTTATTTATTTTTATTTATCTGGCTACTATATATTATATAAAAATGTAATTTTTTCAAATTGAATTTAAATATATATTTTTTATTTTTATTAATTTTTAACAACTATATAACTGTAATACCTTGATAAATTAAACATTAATAAAGTTATTAATTATGTAAATATTATTGCAACATGGATTCTCAATGCCGTTTGTTTGCATAGGGTCTGTTAAGTATCACTTTTTTGGTGTTAAGAAACAGGAGCATTGTTCAATGCTATTTGACACCTCTAAAAATCCTTGATGGAGTTAGCTTATAAAGGTAAAAAAATACATTTTCAATTACAAAATTAGAATTTAGATAATTATTTTAGAAAGTAAAAGCATTTCATTATATATATGTGGCTAAGTATCAGAAGGAATTGATGTAGAAAGAAGCTCTTCTGTGTATAAAATTGGTTTTATTAATATTCATTTTTTAATAATTCCTAATACCAGCACTAACATTGCAACATTAAAAAGAAACAGAATCAACAAAATCATCCATTTCATTATAAATGAATAAATAAACAGATAGATTTAAATTTTACTGTTTTACAAAACTAAAGGCATTGTATAGAAATACTTGACATTAAATATTTAACAATAAACATTAAACGTTGTTAAACATTAAACATTTAGCATTTCATATCAATTGGCTGAAATAAATATTAAGAGGTCAAAAATTTCATATTAATTTATAAGCACATGACGCAAGCCAGCTAAGAAATCAAACGACTTCTGATAAAGTTTACCTGTAAATATTATTCTAATAATGAACAAAATCAACAGAAATCAAGAGAACAGAAATAACAGTCTTTTTGATAAGATATTTCAGAAGTAAATTAGATTTCCATTGAACAAAGCAAACCTAATAAATAATATATTATTAATATTAAATGAATTTGATTTTAATATAAACATATTCAATGCCACAAAAAATACCTTTATGATACAAGTGTTGTATTGTATAAAGATTAGAGATTGTGAACAGCAATGGATTGCAATCGTCGCAATCGTTACAAATAATAATACTAATAACAATTAATAATAACCGCTTGTCCTCCCTCCTTGGTGATTGTCTTAAAAAAAAAGGAACATAAACAATCGTTATAAATGATAATACCAACAACGATAATAACAAAATTGCTTGTCCCCTCCTTGATGATCGATCATCTAAAAAAAAGAACATGTATGTATATATTTCTGTTGAAATTTAAGTGAAATATGTATGATCGTAGTATATTAATCGCCGATTATCCAATCATTGAATATTTTCAACATTCGATTAATCGGTATCAAAATCACATGAAGTTTCGTGGAGCAGCAAGAAGAGTGCCAACCATAGGTAAGATATTCACGTTAATGAATGCCAGGGATACACCGACCATTTGGACACCATGCATTTGAACACAGAGAAGCTTTAATGGGATCTTCAAAAAATGAAGAAAGCCCGATGTAATCAATTCGCTCCATTGGGATTCAGCTTTTAATACCTAAGCAAAAGGAAGAGTTAGAATGGTTACAATACTTTAAAACAACTTTAATAATCAAGGCTAAATAAAAAAACTTCAAGAAAGAAGTATTATTTATTATCAATTCTTTCATAATAAATAGTGTGTGTACAACTTTCATTTGAAACATGTGTTTGATTATGAGGCACAGTGGTTATACAAGCCCAAAACATAAAAGCTAGATTGGCATCACCGACATATTTTTTAATAAACATAAAACTCTTGAAAAATCTTTTATTAAGAATAAGTATGTTTCAGCTCTTACTATGCTTTATGTGGCTACAGTGCTGTATTACAGCAAAAAAAACCGAATCTATTTATATCTATGAGAAGATGAATAACATAAGTTATTATTATTATTATTATTATTATTATTATTATTATTACTATTATTATTATTATTATTATTA